TTGTTAAATTTACAAATTAAATCTTCTGATTTCCTGAATCAGTTACATTTCTTATGTCAGAATTATGAATCTTAAAAGAAGCTAATTTATTTGAGAGCCCGATATTTTTTTTTATTCCATATTGAAATGTTATTTTTTAACCTCGACAAGGATCAATGCTTGAAGGGGGAAAAAAGCTGTTTGGGGTAAAAACAACATGCGAGTACAGTATATTAAACATTCTTCATTATGATTTAAATCTACACCAGCGCCCTTACAATACTGAGATCTCCCACTGTTATTATTACCAACATTTTTTGTTAATATTAATTTCATTCAGTCATGAAATGATTCACAGTTGACTGGCAGGATTTACCTATGAGTGTTTTGAGTGTCATTGAAAAGTACATTTTTTTTTCGCCAGTCAAATACAAACTGGAGATACTGATTCTGTCTGTAGGGAGAATAAAACCCTACAAATTCAGAACAAAGCCGTGTGGTTAGTGTATAAAAATGATATGACCATGTCGGTCTGATACTGAGATGTAACAGAGGCTTTGCTTTGATTTTTAAGATGTTCTGGTCCCCTGTAACACAGGAGAAAATCCTGAAATGATTACTTTAGTCTTTTCCTCACCACATAAACCTCTGCGTTGCTGTGCTGTCCGGCCAGTGGAAGGTCTTGGCGATGAAGATGTAGATGGTGGCAACGTTCACGGCCGTGTACAGGAGGAACTCCCCGATGAGTCTGGGAAGGGAGGGAAGGGGCATGTGCAGGCGATACATCAGGTATGGAACGATGAAGTACCTGAACTCCAGGAGCTTCTGCGGGACTGTGGTGGCCACGAGGCAAGCCAGGAAAGCCAAACTCCAAAAGAGAGAGCGCGATTTAAAGGAGTCCAGAAAATTCCACCCGGCGAAGATGTACGGAGGGATGAGGAGGAAACGCACCAGTTCGTGCCTCTGGAAAAGTTTCTTCCACACATAAAAGGGGAAATGGCGGTTATCAGCCAGGAGGTACTTGTGGACAAAGGTGAATTTCCACACCAGGAGCAAAGACATGCCGGTGACCAGGAGGAAAAACAAAGGCTGCTTTTTGAGAGCCTGCAGGAAGCGCAGGACGCGGTGGTAACACAGCGAGACGGGGAGAGAGAAGAAGAGGGAGAAGGAGAAGAAGTAGAAGAGCTGGGGGAAGTTGAGGCAGGCCTCGTGGCTCGTCCTGTCGCCAACCACGATCCCATCATTCAGTGCCACAAACACCAGGAAGCCAACGCCGACCAGCGCGTAAGGCCAGGCCACCAGCAGCACCGCCTTCACGTGATTGGGTGAGGTGAGGAACTCCAGAGTGAAAAGCAGGATTCTCTTAGCTCCGCTGAATGACAGCGGGATCTGAGACGGTGCAGACTTCTCGTCCCTCTTTTTTGTATGCTCCACCCTCCAGGCGTCATCCATTTTGCCTGCCACCAGAGTGGCTGCACAGAACGCCACCCAGATGATGTTCGTCTGACGGAAGAGCACGGAGCAGACGCCCAGCAGCGCAGAGGCCTTGTGGCAGCCGTACAGGGTCATGAGGTAGGTGAAGAGGATGAAGAAAGTAGATCCAGCGTCGGTGTAGTAGAGGAAGTTAAAAAAGTAGAGCACAGGGAAGGTGGACAGAGACAGCGCTGACAGGACTCGGCGTGAGGTTGTCCGCATCTAGAAGAGAAGTTAATGTGACATCAGAAAAAAAAAAAATTAAGTCACTTGTGGTCTTGTCTTCGTGTCCTGGACTTACCTTCTCCCTGAGGTGCAGCTTGCAGAGGAGCAGATAGATCAGGTAAAGGTTGCCACAGTTGAAGAGCAGGTTGATGAAGCGCAGCATGGCCGTGGAGCACACCACCTCACCTGTCAGTTCGGTGAGCCACACCACAGGCTTGATGACTCCCACTGAGACGAGGTAAAGGCCTGGGAGAGTGGTGATCATCGGGTCCCACTGCATGAATTAAAAACATGTTAGCACGGCACAAGGTGTAAAGTTCACTTAACATGTGGAGTGAGCGGATAATGGCTCTTGAGTGGGGAGTTGGGGGGCTTCCGCTGTGAAGGGCCACACCAATAAGCTGAGCTGAGCTTCACGGTGCTCAATATTAATTGTATCCCTTTATAATCTTATTGTTGTGGCCCTCCACAGGGATATTTCATAGCACTGTCAGTTCTCTTGGCTAGTCTGTGATACAAGTATTTAAGAAAAAAAACCTGTGTTTGCATCAGCACTCACTTCATTATTACAGCCAGGCATCGAACAACCAACTTTTGGATTAGTAGACGACCTGCTCTGGCTCCTGAGCCACAAGACAAAAGCCTTTTTTTAGAATCTTCATCTATATGCTATCTTAAAATTACAGCCCAAATGATATCGCAGTCTGTTGATACATATGAATGTCGTCCAATGGAGTATGTGACGACACAAATTTACAAATAAAGTCATTTAAATTTCATCCACCATGGGTCTAATGTTTTCTCCTGTTCCAATGGCACCTCAGCCATCATTTAGAAGGCCCAGCAGGGCCTGCATTTCCCGAGGACACTCAGGAAGAATCATCTCAGTTAAATGCTCCTCCTGCTGTGCTTCTACAGAGCCACCGCTGAGAGCATAGTTCATTACACTGTGGTACATGGGGTTCGTAGCAGCAGATAAAAAGGCCCTCCAGAGAATCACCAACACTGTTGTTCTCTTCCTTCCCTCACAGACATTGCGAACAGCCCCAAATCATCATCAAAGACTGCTCTCATCCAAGTCACCATCTGTTTGAACTGCTGGTGGGCGTTACCAATCCTTAAAATCCAAAACTCCCAGATTCACTACGGGCACTAACGTCCCCCTCACCAAACAAAGACAGCTCATAACAGTTTATAAAACACACTTAAACGTGTCATTTTATCTTGAACTTGATAAAACGTCATGCATTAATATGCGTACGATGTGTTATAGGAGAACTACTTTTATGCTTGTATCCAATTATTTATCTATTTAGCCCTAGACAAGGAAAGAGGCTCCAGTAGATTGCAGGCATAACATGAGTCTGGTTGTAGGAAAAGACAACCCCCTGTCAGACAGTCCTAGAGACTGATTGCCAACTCTCTTGCAACCACTGACTGCTAGGACGAAAGTGTATTCCCTGATGACAACCACTTAGCCAACGAAAATGTGAATTTAATTCCTTTAGTGGTTGCTGGAAGGCACAAGGTTCTTTGGGCTGCCAAGGCGGTCGTTTACTGGTCTCTTGTCCTACGTGCCTGGAGCCTCGCAGGCATCTGCTTGGACCCAGGCATCATGTTACTCTGCTGCATGTGAACCAGGCAGGGCTGCGATGAATAATAACCACACCAATCTTTTCTCTGCAAGGCTTTAAAACTCTCACTCTCTCATGGATCCCTGACTAAAACACCATCGTTTAGCCTAGTTTCCTCTAACACACACTGCTTTCACTGTCAGTCAGATGCCATGCATCATGTCACATGAGGATGAACATGCAACATGTCTTTACAGATAGCCATTAGTAATGTAAGGTTTACAGAGCTTCATACAGATCTGAGCAGTTAAGCTTCACTTCACCACAAAGTCCCTTGCTCTTTTTAAAGCTGGCCCACGTGACATCAATAAATATAACCCATCCAGACAGGCATACCATACTGATACAGCCCTATATGCCCAGTGTGGAGATTAACCCTAATCGAAAGCCCCGCTGCTCTTAGCTAACCTTAATCCGCCTGATAATGGCGGGCTCACCCTCATCACTCACACTTTACCTCGTTGAATTTTCCCTGGCAGTATTTCTGAGCTTGGGGGACGTGGAAGATCTCGTCCATGTAGGGCTCCCTTTGCTCGCGGGTCACTCTGGAGAACAGCAGGCAGGATATTAAGAAGTTGGTGCTGCACAGAGCAGTGAACATGTAGCCTTCAAATTTCTCCATGTTTGACGACGAAACACGGTGTAAAACTGAGAAAAGTTCAGACCAGAGCTAGCTGTTAGACTTTAGAGTATCTCGCATAACTACTAGACTCCAGAATTTAAACCGCGGGAAAACGTTAATTTAGAGGAAACTGTCTGAAACATGTCCACCGTTGCTAAACGGAAGAATTTTTGTGATTTTTGACAGCTGGCGGTCCGATTCAGAAATAGGCTCGGTACAGAAACTCGTGTAAAACCATAGGTTCCGGTACTATGCTAAATACTTTAGCGTGGGATTATCTGTCGAGTAATATCTGCCTTACACATATGTATGATTTATTTTGGGTGATTATGTTATTGACTGCCGTTTTACTACCTTGTGATATCCTTTTTTTTCCTCCTAGGAGGAGATTTCCTCTGACGCGGTGTCACCGTGTTATGGTTCCCCCCCGCCGTGTAGAGACTTCACGTGAAGCACCGTGGTCCGTGTGCCGTTTATAGAATTTTATCCAACCTTTTGTGTGTGTGTGTTTTGAGAATGCATCTAACACAAAAGCTGGAGCTTTTCCCCGACCACAGAGTGACCCAGATGCTCTTCAAAGAAGTCAAAAATGCTGCAGAGCTGAAAAAAAGCGCCATGGAAGGGAAAATAAACGGTGCCTTGATCAACCCTACGATGGTGAGCCTTTTCCGTCTGTTTTAGCAATGCTTTTTTTCAAAATACGCCTGTGTTTTATTGTATAAAACACATACTAATAAAACCGTTAAGTACTCGTGTCTTTCACTGAAAAAGAAAAATTGAGAATTACCTGGAGTCTTGCTGTTTGCTTACGTTGACCCTGTGCTTCCATTTCCAGCTGGTGGATCCTTTTCAAGTGCTGGTAGCTGCCAATAAAGCCGTTCACTTAGAGAAAATAGAAAAAATGAAGACAAGAACTCTTTACTCGGAGATCATCTTCAATCTGTCCCCTACAAATAATGTAAGTGAGAAGAAGAAGATGTTTCTGTGATCCATGTTCCGATTTTTGAAAAAAATATGTTACTCTTAACGTAGTTTTAGATATGTAAGCTATCTGTATGCTTCCACTAATATAGATCTCAGAGGCCTTTAGAAGATTTGGGATCTCAGATGGTGATGACTCCGTTCTGATCGTTATGGTTGACAGCAAAGATGAGTCCCAGGTCGTGTCAGACATTGCAGCCAGGGTGGAGGGCCGGCAGGTTCCAGTGGAAGAGATTTCCTCACTGTCAGACCACGCAAAGATCAAAAAGGTCGCTGCTTTTAATTAATCTGCCTTCCACACTTGTATCTTGTTATGTTACAGGGGTGACAGGCTGCACAGTTGTTTCTCCTAATGTTGCTTTATTCCCAAAACATTCTCAGATGTGGATTATATCCAGTCCCAGACTAAATGAAAAATTCAGTGAAGATCTGACAAAAGAAAAAAAAAAAAAACTGGGCCTAAAATCATGTTATAACCCACAGAGTACATAATCAATTGCAGTTTCCTCACTACCGCTTTAACACTTTGCTTGATGAATTTAAAGAATATTTAAATTTATTTTTTCCCTCCATTACAGCTGTACAAAGTCACTCCCCAGGAGGAGAAATGTGGGAGTCTGCTTGATGCGGTCGTATGCAGAATGGCCACCAAGGATGTTATGTAGGTTCGGCGGGATATACTAGGTGCGATTAGAAACTTCTGTGACTTTTATGACTTCACCCTTAAAGAAATGAAAGACTACGCTTTGAGCTCCACTTCAACACACTGTCCTTGTGCAGGACTGGACTACTTCCAGCACCGCTGCTATTTTTAGATCACTCCTTGAACGTCTCATTCTGTCCACTGGAGCAATTCAAACGTTAACTTCTGTGTCAGGCTGAAACAGCTTTGACTCGGAGGGTCATCAAAGGTTATGAGAGCGGCTTGTCCACCTACAGCCCACCGACCAAACAGCACACAATCCAAAAGCAACGCATCAGGATCTAGACGATTTTTTTTCCCAGCATTCATGCGTTGTGCACCAAGGTCAGACTTATTCAAGGATCTAATATCCTGAGGCATTCAAGGGACACCAAAGGTTGGGATTTTTTGTAGCTCACCACTGGTTACATACAGCCAGATACGATTCTGTTCTCTAAAATGAAGCCAAATGTAACAGATTCATGCAGTGTTGCACCAGAGACCACCTTCGAGGGGGGACTGTTTTTGTTTTTGCAGAGTTGCAGAACTTTATGATCACACCTTGTAAGACCAGGATATACCTAATAATATCTGAGAAAATGTGTTTTTTTTCTCTTCACAGCAGTTTAACAATAGATCCGTTGTCAATAGATCTATGTCTGTTTTTAATACTAGCCCAGCACACTCTTAAGTTTAAACCAACAGAAATTGTCAGTCTTGATCTGTGTACACTGGGCTCAGTCAAAATAAATCTTATTTTTCTTAAACCTTTGAGTGAACTCATCTTTGTTTATTCTTTTTTATCTCTTCTTTGCCACGGCCATGTCGTAGGACGTAGGGAGAAATCTTTGCGTTTCTTATTATTTAGCATCATTCTATTTCTTGTTGTATTTTACCTTTGAACTTTTTTCATTCACTGTGTTTTTTGGTTCTATACACTGAAGGTTAGTTTTCTGACGATTTTTCAGCGATGTAAAGCTGCTCTCTTGCCAGCAGAGCTGAATTATGAATCCAAATTGCTTTGAGGTGGATGTGAGCCAGACCTCTGAATAATTAAAAAAAAAAAAAAAGGCTCAAATGCCCCGAAGCACTATCATGAAGGCACTTCAGTCGAGCCAAATTTCAGCCAATGGCTGTCAGCCTGGGGAGGCATGAATAATAAATCTGCTGTTTGTTTTAAAAAGTTTGGAGTTAGGTTTGACAAAATTGCACTTTTTACGTCTGTTGATGATAATAATAGAAATATTTAATAAAGAATGTTGAATGTGGAGCTGCCGGGCACGAGGAAAAGAGGAAGACCTCAGAGAAGATTCATGGACGTAGTGAAGGAGGACCAGAAACTATTATAACCATTCAGATGCTTATAGATTACAGAGCATTGCATTATAATCATTCTACTGCAGCAAATCATGTTAATGTTTATAGTTTACAATGTAATTACTATTCATTAACAAAGTGTTAATAAGAATCACAGTATTTGAAATGTAACAGTATGTAATGCAATAAGCTACACTGCCCATCCAGAAATAGTCACACTCTGAATATTTTGTTGGACCACCCTTACTTCTGAGCATGGTACACATCCTCCGGGGGCAACATTTTGATGAGCTTATGCAGTGTCACAGCATTTATTTCCAGAGCTTCATTCATTTTTTTGTCAAGGTTGAAGATGATGCTCCTGGCACGATTCCTGGAGTTGCCATCCTTGAATCTGTCCCTGCCATCAGAGAAGCAGTTATGGCTTTGTGCTGAGAAAGAGTTTTTAGAGTGTTGCTGCAGAAATATAGAGGAGGTCAGGAGTTATGGATTTAGAAAAAAAAGCATATGATAGGTTGTTAAAAGA